TTAAAAATGCAAATTTCTAATAAATCTAAGATTTTAAGTAATATAGGAAAAAGAATAAATTTTAAAAAAATTTGGCAGAGTCTCCCTTAAAAATTAAACCTCCTAAAACTTTTACAAGAGAAAATTCATAATTTTACACCAAGTAAATAATCACATGTAATAGTCTAAGGCTTTATGAAGCCACTAACAATACTCTTAGTAACAAGCAATATCAATAACAACTAAATTTGAAGCAATTCAATGGGAAAATGAAATTAAAAAAATTTTGATATAATTTTTCCTAAAAATTAGACTTCATTCAAACAAATTTTAGAAGAAAATAAATAATAGTTTTATACCTCTACTCCTTAAAACAATAACAATTTGATTACACGTGCAATAATTTATGGTATTAGGCAACATTCCCAACAAGCAATTTTAGATAAAACTAATTAAAAGTAATTAAATAAAATTAAATAGGAAGTTAAACCAAAATAAATTAAACTAAATTAAATTAAACAAAAATTAATAGTTAAATTGAAATCAAATAATAATTGATATATATTAAAATTAAAAATTTGTAGCTTACCTGTTAGTTAAGAAATGAAGAGGAAAAAGGAGGAGGAGGAGGAACGAGTAATAAGGGCGAGTGAAAAGGGGAAGAGGAGGTGTCAGGGGGGGCAGAGGGTGAGGGGAAGGTTGATAGAGTTGGGAGCCAGGGTGGGGGCAAAGGGGGAAGGGAGGGGAGAGGAGAGGTGGAGGAATGGGAAGGGCAAGGCAGAGGGGTAGGCATGGAGGAGATTGAAGAGTGAGCAGGGGCAGAGATTGAGGGGGTGAGGGGGAGGCCGAGCGGTGGTTAAGGATGGACAGTGAGGGTGACATGGGAGGAGAGGTTGCACTGTGACACTTTTTAGAGGTGAAGACGAAAAGACAATGAAAGATGAAGAGAGAGCAAGTGAAAACATAAAGAGATGTGTGAATTTTTTTTAATATTTAAATAGTTTTTAACATTGGGTGCCCAAGTACCTGATGTTGAAGCTTGACTTTTAACATCGTGTGCTTGGACACTCAATGTTAAAAGTCTTAATTTTTTTAACTTTTTTATTAAGACACTTTCAACATTGGGTGCGTAGACACCTGATGTTGAAAGTTTTAATTTTTTTATTAATACAAATATAACATCAGGCATCCAGGCATCTGATGTTAAAAATTATTTTTTATTTTTTAATTTTAAAAATCATTTAACATTGGGTGCATTTAGGACTCGATGTTGTAAGTATTTTTAATAATTGTTAATTGTTTACCCACTGTTAAAAGTCCTGTAGTCATATATAATATTATGAAAATGCCATCACCTTTATTTTTTTTTATAGTGTTTCCCTTTGAACCGCTGTTAAAAGTCTCCTGTAAATGACAATTTATGTAATAGTATGTGTGGGACCTAATTGTAATTCTTTCAAAAATTTAAATAATTAAAAAATAATAATTGGAATTACTAGTTTAATACCGTTGCTAATTATCATTTTTCTTTTACGTTTTTCAAAATCTCCTTCATCCCAAACTAGTAATTTATGTATTTATTTCTTAGAAATGCCAGGTATCATATACTTTTAAGTGAGGCAAATTTATCCCTGAACTATTTTTTAGAGGAGCAAAAACCCTCTTTCATTAATCAACCATTCATTTTTCTATTTTTTGCTGATGAGACATGTGCGCAAGGCCCATGCACAGTGACATGTGCATGTGGCATGTTTTTTGATGTTAATTTGCTTCTAAATTCTTTTTTTAGAAGCACTCGGCTCTCTAAAGTCTTTTTCTTAAAGTGCTAGACACTCTAAAATTTTGTTAAAATAAAATTGAATAAATATTGTTAAAACATTAATTATTTTAATATTTAATAATTTAAATATTATTATTTAAAACATTACACCACCCAACTTAATAATTTAATATTTTTTATATTTTTTAATTTTATATCAAAAAATGAAGTAAATGAACCTCCAAATTGGTGAAGGAATTTTTTTCTCATCTTTTTATTTTTCTCTTGTTAAATAACTTTTTTGATAACATATTAATGGAATAAGTGATATTTTTTAAATAAATATTTTTATTGTTATATTATTGGTCCTGATTTGTCATGTTTATAATTTTACTATTAATACAAAAGCATACAAAGAGTATTAAATTTGGGCAATACAATATTTTGGAGAAAGATCATTAGTTGACTAAAAAAATTAGGAAACTTAATCAATATTAAAAATATAAGTAAGTTCTAACATATACAGAAGGTGTAATGATTTATATAATGTATTGATGAGAAGGTTGAAGATCAATATATAAAAATAAGAAATAATCTATAAATTTATAAAATGCTAGCAAAAATAATATTTAAATATAAAAAAATATTAAATTAAGTGATATAATCTTTTAAATAATAATATTTATTCAATTTTATTTTAACAAGATTTCAGGATGTCCAACACTTCAAGAAAAAGACTTTAAAGTGCTTAGCGCTCTTAAAAAAAAAAAGTTCATGAGCAAATTAGCATTAAAGGACATGCAATGTGTTACATGTCACTATGCTTGAACTCCACACACATGCCACGTTAGCAAAAAATAAATGAATTGACCTTTGATCAACGGATAATTTACTTATTTACTTTTTTTTTAAATTAGTTGTGGCTTTAAAACTGATATAACATCTTTCAAATTATCATGCTTGTTGCTTTTTCCATATATAATGCAAGAAACTTAAAAAAAATTAATTTCGATGTGTGTGTGTGTGTGTTTTTTTTTTTTGAAGCAGTGACGTATGAATCTAAACAAGAGAAAGGGATAAATTAGTACATGAACGAAATAAAATTCTCAGTTAGCCTGTGCATGAACATGGTCATTATATTCCTTTATTCTCCTGACACTTGCTCTTCATAGAAATCTCCACTTAGATGTATGCCCTGCATGTGCTATACATGCCCTGATTCGTTGTATTATTCTAAAGCATCATGTTTTAATGTATTTCCATTTTATAAAATTCCGGGCATTAGTCAGCACAATGTTTTTTTGTTATAAATTATTTTCTAGAATTGACTTTGCCCATGAAGAACCTTTATATATTTAACAAGAAACAAATAAATAACGCCACTTACAAAAAATTGAATATTAAATATCCATGCTAGTTCTTTAAAGTGTAGCATATGCAGCACACAATCCACATAAGGATAGATGAAGAGATACGTTTCAATAAATAAAATTAGTTCTACTTTTTTTAAAAAAATAAAATCAGTTCAAACCCCATCAAAATATTTCGTTGAGTAAGTATATATCCCCACAAATAATTTGCAGGTTAAACTAAAAAGTTTTAATTTTAATTTTGATTTAAAACTAAGATATCACAGGTCATGCTCAAAATAAGACATTAATCTTATATTATTGTTTTTCATAAGCATACATATTAATTATTTCTGATTAAATATTTATATAATATTTCACCAAAAAATTTTCATAAGTAACGCTAGAATAATTTTTCTAACATTATACAAAATTTGAGATAACTTGCATTTTTTTATGACTTTGAACAGTAATGCTTTGTTATAACTTATAATTTTAACTATATATATATATATATATATGATTAAAAGATGTCATGGTCACAATTCTCAAACTAATGTCAATTAATTCCTTAAATATATAAGGAAATTTTTTAATCTAGAAAATCATAACAGCAATAAAAAAATTTGAAAACTCATTAATTCTTGAATTGTTTTGTAAAATTATAAAAAAGCACATTAAATGCACAGACTAATTTAAGAAATAAATAATTTAGCTCGCACGCGCCCCCTTGTGTGTATATATTTAATATCCTTTTATCTAATATTTAATCAAGATGTGTGAAAATATGTTACTAATATTAATAATAAGAATTTGATATGGAATAAATAATCCATAACAAAGACACATGTTTTAATTTAATTGAAAATAAACACTTTAAATATATAAGATTAAGTATATAAATTTTTTTTTATGTATTTGTGTACTATTTTTTTGAGTAAAACTTACATATTCATAAAGAAACTAATTCATAAAATTTAACATTAAAATTTAACTTTTTTAATAACAAAAGTTGATATTTAATATTATCAAATTTGGATTTGAGACGCGTGATCATCGAATCAAGGAGAGGCTCTCCCCATGTGATTTTTCTACCACAAGGTTTTGAATCCAACAGCTTTATTACTTCTCCTGTACTTGCACGCAACCATTTCACGGTTTTCCAAAAAAGTGATGTGACATCTTATTTTTTAAAAAAAATTCCAATTTTAATTTCATAAAATATTATTTAAAAGGGCCAGAACAAGGACTACTGAAATTCTAATACATTCTTTTATCAAGAAGAGTAGTAATATAGTTATAAAAATAGTCATAAAAATTATATAATATTCTATATTTTCAACGAAACAAATATAATCATAAATTGAGCTTTTACCCAAAAAAAAAACTCAAAGAAGAATATCTGAATATCATCTTAAGATGTCTTTTATTAGGACAAAGGTACTAAAAAAATTAAGGAGTTATTTAAAATTATTTTTATTTTATTATTTTAAAAATTAATATTTTATAAAATATATTTTGAGAATAAAAAATAAAAAATAAGTGTTTTTTATTTTTTCTTATTTTTAGAATAATAATTTTAAAACACTGAAAAGTTATTTTCATTTTTCTATTTTTTAAAATAATATTTTATTTTTTATTTTTTAAAACATTTTTTACAAACACATTATTAAATAAATTTTTTATTTTTTATTTTAACGAACAGAAAATTGTTTTTAAAATTTATTGCCAAATAGTCCTAAATTTCTTTTTTCCACACAAAAAAGAAAAAGAATAACTCAAAAAACACGTTTAAAAGGCAATAAAAGTCTGTCGTGTTAGATTATAACATGTGATCCAATTACGGATTTCCTCGTGTACTCACAGAAATTACAGGTCTCTCATCTCTCTCATGTGTTTGAATATAAAATGACGTTCCTACGTCAATAATTCTTCCATACTCGTAAGAAGCTTTGAATTATTAAACCAAACCTGAGAGCATTCTTCGGTCTCTGACTTCTTCTTCTTCTTCTTCTGGTCATGGAAGCCATAACTGAGATTGCCGTCGTCACCGTCCCTGCGTATAGCCATCAAGCTTCCATTCTTGAGTTCTGCAAGCGACTCGTTCTTCTCCAAAACCACGGCCATCACTTCCATGTCACGTGCTTCATCCCAACTCTTGGATCACCTCCTAGTGCCTCCATATCTCTTGTTCGGTCCCTTCCTTCTTCTTCCATAACCTGTACTTTTCTTCCTCCTGTAAACCTCCATGACCAACCTAAGGATCTTCCCATGGAAGTTCAGCTTCATCTCGCCATAACTCGGTCTATGCCACTCGTTCACGATGCCTTAAAGTCCCTAGTCGGACGCTCGAGCTCGGGCTTGGCCGCTATGGTGGCTGAACCTTTATCCATCGAAGCATTAGAGATAGCCAAGGAGCTTAACATCACTTCATATCTTTACTTCCCATGTTCTGCTATGTTACTTTCACTCTGCTTTTATTCTGCGAAGCTGAATCAGAAGGTTTCTTGTGGTGATCAGTTCAGAGACTTACCAGAACCCATTCAGATTCCAGGTTGTGTTCCTGTTAGTGGGAAAGATCTCCCAGACAATCATCAAGATCGATCAAGTTTGGCTTACGAGCAATTTCTCCAACGTTGTCAATTATATCATCTTGCTCAAGGTAATTAAATGAATTGTTGTTGTATAGCACCTGATAAACAAGAAATAACCAGATATCACATAAAATTGTTCGAGATTAAAAGCTGGGTTGGTCCCTGTTTTCTGCTAAGATATGGGTAAATTATATTCCATTCTTCTTGTTCTTTGGGTGATGATTCACACTCACAAGCGTCAAATGTTATTACTAGGTAAACTAAACTGGGAATAAAATAAAATATTTTAGGTATTGATAAATTTAAATTTTAAATCTCACATTTTAAATCCATGTATTTAAAATTCTTTGTTTATAGATAGTTTAAATAACAAAGATAATTGTTATTAGGAGTGCATATGAAGATTTGAAATAATAAGGATTTAGAAATTATTTTAAATTTTGAAGGAATGAAGATAAACATTGAATTTGGATTTTGATAAATTCAAATATAAATTTTTAAGTGCCTGAACAGGGAATTTGATCCAAATTTAAATTCAAATTTAAATCAACATGTGTGGGTGCACCAAACACAGCATTATATCACTAACATTCACGCATTTGTTTATGCATTGGAAAGGAAAATAACACCAAAAAAAAATGTTACATTGTTTTCTTTTTTATATGTTCATTATCTCCCTTCCTTTTGTATTCGAAATTCACTTTTGCTAACATAAAATACTCTGCAAATTATACAAGTCATTTGAAGATATAGACAACAGCTCAGCACCATGCTTTAGTTAATTATTTATTGTTCGCAAATTAATTTCAACTTATTATACACACATTCACTTTCACTCTAATTTATAATTATTATTTTATTCTTTTTCCATTGCATTTTTTAAAGGGATTTTGTGGTCAATATTTGTGCCCTTTTAATTGATAAGCCCTTAAGAATAGAGTCTCAAGTTTGATTTTGTATAAAGTATGTCTTTTGGAAAGCTACCGTGTTTGGGTTTCACAATATTGGAATCTGACCCGGTAATATAAGATATTAGATCTACCATTACGAAAAAGGTGAAAATAGCATCAGAGATATTATTGCCTTGGACACTAGTTGAAAACAATCAATCAATTAATGGTTCTTTGAGGCCGTTTTTTCAATAAATCGTGAGATTAAGTTGGAAATAAATAGAATTTTTTGAATTTGATGTTAATAATACCTCTTGCAGGTATACTATTGAATAGCTTCGAAGAAATGGAAGCAGGAGCTATAAGAGCCTGGCAGGAACACGAGAAACCAAGAAATGGAGAAACTAGGAGATACCCTTCTGTACATGCAATCGGACCCATCATTAGAACCGGGTCAAGTATCCAAATAAACGGGTCGGGTCAAGAACACTGGGACGATTGTTTAAGATGGTTAGACAAGCAGCCACCAAGTTCAGTTCTGTTTGTTTCTTTTGGAAGTGGTGGGAGACTATCTCAAGCTCAAATCAATGAGCTAGCTTTAGGGTTAGAACTAAGTAACCAGAGATTTCTATGGGTCAACGTGAGATCACCAAGCGACACAGCCAGTGCTAGCTATCTACGTGATAATAATAATAAAAATGAACAAGAAGACCCCCTTCATTTCTTACCATCCGGATTCTTAGAGAGAACAAAAGAACGAGGTTTGGTCATGGCTTGTTGGGCCCCACAAGTTGAAGTGCTAGGTCACAGTTCAACAGGAGCGTTTCTAAGTCACTGTGGTTGGAACTCAATACTAGAGAGTATTGTAGAGGGAGTGCCAATTATAGCTTGGCCACTCTTTGCAGAACAAAGAACTAATGCAGCCATGTTAGCTGATGGACTAAAAGTGGCTACAAGGCCAAGAGTTAGTGACCATGGTGAGATAGTGGAAAAAGAGGAGATTTGTAGGGTTATAAGGTGTATAATGGAGGGTGAAGAAGAAGAAGGTAAAGAAATTAGAAGAAGAATGAAAGAGCTGAAAGGTGATTCCTTTTGTGCTTTAATGGAGAATGGTAGTTCAACAAAGACACTGTCAAATTTGGCACTCAAATGGAGAAATATGTGATTCACATTTGTTAGGTTGTTTAAGTATACATAAATTTCAATCGATGCAAAAAGTTTTATATTAGATAAAGTTGAGCTTAATAATTATTATAAAATAAAAAAGAATGACCTATAAATTTCAGACATGAGGTTTAAGACATGATCTATAAATTTATAGTGTTATTCTACTATAAATTTATGACAAACTTGATTAGAGAGATCTAGGTAGGACCATCCTTTCAGTCTAAAAGATGAAGAGAGAGATACACTTTACATTAATGTTATGTTTAGATACATATGAAATTGGATTTGGGCCAAATGTCTTGTTTGGGCACTTAAAATTTATGAATTTGGATTTACTTGTATGTGTATGAATTTAAAATATATGGATATATGGATTTCAAATTTTAGATTTGGAATGTGAGATTTTAAATTGAAAATTCAAATTTAAATTCACTAATCCAAACACAACATAAGAAAAATCAAAGAAAAATATTTGCTATTGATATCTGCTGCTGCAATGAGCCAACTTTTAGTCAATGAGACTTGGCTTTAGATTTTTTTTTTTTTCATGTGAGTGGTATTCCATGCACCACAAAAATTTGCAGTAGTAAATCTTCAAGTTTGGATTGAAGCATGTACATTAGATATGAAATTGATGTTAAAGAAATATCAAATGCTTATTATCATCTTCTTTTTCAATTATTAGGTTGAATCAATAGATAGATTGTATATGGAATATAGTATTAAAAGAAAGCATGGAACTGCAAGGTCCGTTTCTTAATTAGATCCCATGATTTGAGGGATTATTAGGGTTATGCTATATTATACAGAGAGCACTAAACATTAAAAATTGCAACTTAAATGAGTAGCATAGGTTGGAAAAGTCAAAGATGATGCACATTAAGAAGTCTAGAATGCTCTTAATTAATTTATGAAAACTGGATTACGTATAAAGCCTTTGCACTTGGCAGTTTATATATATATATATATATATTAGTTAATTAATTTATTTTATACACGCGCGTGCGCGCACACATATATTAGTTTATAGTTTATTACTTTTCAGTGACAGCTACACAAACCAACTCTAATGAGTAGAGAAATAATAAGAATATTAATCCATAGGCCTTTCCACGGGCACTACTAGTTGAAATCGCTGTCGATATATGTTGTCGTTTTATTTTTGCTTATGTCGTGCATTGCCTTATTATATTGAAATCTTGCAGGACATGTTCTTAGATGACAGCTGTACTTGAAATTTTCTTGGACTAGCATAGATGTAGAATTTTCAGTAGGTGGTCTAAATCTATTTATTTAATAAGTATTTTAATTATAGCTATTGAATTTTATCAATATTTATAGATTATCAGTGTACATTTCTTTTGATTTGGATTCGGAGGGAGGCCTAAATTCATTCACTCAATTATTATTTCAATTATAACTTTTAAATTTTATTATTAGTTGAAAATTATTAAAATACATTATGTCCTTAAAAATTCAAATTAGAACATTCATTTACATTGTTCCCCTCCAAAAATTTGAAATTTGATGCTCTTTGAGGATCAAATATAACAAAAGTTTTAATGGCCGTTCAATTTGTTGTAGGCAGCAGATGCAGACGCGAACAGCGAGCTTCGAATTGCTTGAGTCGTGCTCGGAAGGACACTGTCCTTAAGAACTATTCCGGTACACCTGGACGGCGGATTGGCAGTTCCTCAGGATTAAACAAGCACTTCCTACGGCAGAGCAAGGGAACAGAATAGCAGAGACTAAAAATAAGAACAGACGAACAGAAGACAGAGGGAGGAGAGGACGAGAATGCTGGCACACTGTTTTGTCCGCATCCATGTCTATTTATAGGCCGAAGAAGGAGACACAAACGTTGGGTTATAATTACCGGTTAATACTTCGGTTATACATACATTAAACAACGAACGTTCATGGATTAATGCTTCAGTTACACACGCCTTAAACAGCAAAAACGTGCACGTCCATTAATCCGAAAACGTTCAGCGTTTATCAATCCGGAGATGTTTGGCAGACAAAACATTAACGCACAGAATTCAGTTTCCAGAAGAGGTTTAATGTCCAAAAACTGCTAAAGCCTCAAGTTCAAATTCAAAACAGCAAAATCAGAGGTTTTTCAGGTAAGCTAAAATAATTATTTATTTAATCAGAAAGTTTGAAAAATAACCCGGCAAGAGGAACCCAGTGCCTCTTGAACTCGCGCACAGGGGGGCGAATCGGTTGATTTCAACTATGATTGCCCTGAGTTGGCCTGTCTCATGTGCGCGAGGCCACTTCTCTTCCAAACTCATTTTACTAGCCCACTTCATTTCTTAATATATATACACTAGGAGATTTCTTCTTTTAGTCAATGTGAGACTTTTGACACACATACAACACAATTAAATCAGACAGTTTTTATTGTGTCACAAGAGACACTCATTGAGTGAGTGAATTTAAATCACTCACCAAATCCAAACATATAAGTACTCCTAACACATATCTCTTTTAAAAGTTTGAGATCAGGTATGTTTGATAAGTATCATATGACAAAATATCTTGCAGATGTTTGATTAAATTGAAGGTTACTGTGCCACATGAGATACTCATTGAATTAGTAGATTTATATCACTCATCCGTACAAATCTCATATAAATATGATGTGCCTTTTTGGATAAGCTCTAATAATTAATTATACCAAGGACAAAACCATTGTTTTGACACAAAAAAAAAAATAAATAAACACCTAAACGCTTGTGTTTTTAAGAAATCGACTTTGGTTTAGTAACATTGTTCTAGCATAAGCTCATGGGTGTTTTGAATTTCAATTGGGTATAATTGATTATAAAAAAATTAATTAATATGATTGATCTTGAATATAATTGATTGTGTTATGTGGTATATAATTGATTAATAAGATTAATTTTAATTAGAATTGAAAAGAAAAATTGAAAAGCAGAATTTAAAATAAGGAAAATCATGAGTTTGTGAAAAAAAAAATCTAAACACCCATATTATATGTTAAAATCAATTTTGAATCTAAAACTATATAACAACAACAATATATACTCGAGTTATGTAGCGCGTTACTTACAGGTAACGACCTAGCATTAGTACAAAGATGTCTATAATCCATATTCATGTGAGATTCAATAAAGTTTTATGTTGGTTATTAAGGGTCTAACACAAACCTCTTCTTTTACTTGAGCTTGAGGCTGGCTGTATAACATAGGTGGAGTTGAATCCAAAATCATTTTTTCCAAAAAAAATATCCAAGCATCCAAATCCATGGTTTTCTTGCAAATATTCAAACATATTTTATAATGTCAAAATCAATTATGAACCAAAAAATATGACTTATAAAATAATTTATATGATTTTTTGACAAACTTTTAGAAGCATATAATTGAATTTTTTTTTTGAAAAGCAAGTAATAGTACTTCTTCTGTTTCTATATATAAGAAAAAAAACTATATTACACAGTTTAAAAAAATTAGTTAATCATAATAATTATGTCTGAAAACAAAGAACTTGGACTAAAATATCTATGTTCATCAACATAAGTATACATTAATTATTTAATTATTTCTTGTTAATGTAAATTATGAGGGGTGATTTAGGAATATAATAAATGCTTATTGAAATATGCAATTTTTGCTCATGTAAAAGAATAAGTAAAAATGATAATTTCTCTCATAAATAGAAACAGAGAAGTACCTTATGAGATAATCGTAGTTTTAAGTTAATAATTAATTTTGACATGTATATGACAGTTAAAAATTTTTTTAAAAAAATTATGGTTTTGAGTTTATAATTAATTTTAGCATGTATACATGATCCCCTTTCAATTTTCAATTCGAAGCATTGAGCCATTATTATCTTGTCAACATTATGAAATTATCAAATATACCCCTGGCGGCACTTTGTGCTCGTGAACTATGAAACTAACCCCTTCTTACTTCACTAAAAAATGCTTCCTCGCGGAGAACAAACAAATTTTGTTTTGGACTCAATGCTTGTATAATTAGCTGCTTTAAATCATTTTAGCTCTATTTGAAAGCATTACGTACTTCCATTATTCTTGGAGCTCGATATAAGTTAAAAAAAAAAAAACTCATGTTTTCGTATATTAGGTATCTTGGGGATTTTTAAATCTTGTAAAATGTTCCTAGATGACAGCTATACTGGAAATTTTCCTCGACTAGCATATGTGTGTGTGTATATAATATACTCCGTCTATTTCAAATGTAAGGCTTGTTTTAGAAAAATTTCATATTTCAGTATATAAGGTATTTTGCGTATTTTAAAAGAAATGAATGTATTTTTTTTTCAAAATCATTAATATGGTCCATTTAAAGAAAGACAAAGTTAAAAACAAAATAAAATCTTAACTATCTAATTGTATTTCTAGGTAAAAATTCTTTATATTTACAACCGACATACTCTCTCTATTAAAAAAATGAAAGGCATTTTTTTTGAGGGTTTGGATATTCAAGAATGTGAGGTATTTTTAGTGTACTCTTGAGACATAATTAATGTGTTTTAACCAAAATTTTCCTTAATAAATAAATTACTTTCTATTTATTTTAAACTAAAACAATTTATTAAATGGGGGTAAATATGAAAAGATGGTGTTAGTTTGAAAATTACTAACTACTTTATTGTAGGCATGATTTGGTTAAAAATACCTTATATTTTTTGAAAAAATCATAGTGAAGGACCTCTAGAGGAATTTTTTTTGGTCGAGAAGGACCAAATGATTATGAATTCACACTGTAGGATGAAGGGATCAAAATGTAATTAAATTTTAGTGTAAAAAAAATTACTCCTTATTTTTTAAAAAATTCTCCTCACCATCACTGGCCGCTAGAGCTTTAGCGCTCGTCGGAGCTCTGGTGAGAGAGACAGATTATTATTATTATTATTATTATTATTATTATTATTATTATTATTTTAAGGTGGTCAAGATGCGTGGGGTTTGAACCCACATTCTCTTTGCCACTAAAAGGATAGTTAGCCACTAGGCTAACAATTTCTTTTAATTATATAATTTAAATCTTTATATATATATATATATATATATTTTTTTTTCACTTTTCATGCCAATATTTACTAAGAGGCCAATGGTTACTTGTCATTTTATAAATGACTACTTGTTAAACTAATAATGAGACTTGTTAAAAAAAATTAATATGCATTGATTTTTATAAATGTTTAATTGTTTTTATTACTAAGAATGACAAGTCCCCATTAGCAATTTAACAAGTATTCGTTTGTAAAATGAGAAGTTTCGTTACTAGCTTTGAAAATTTCTTTTCATAATTTGATAAATACATTTTAGTAAAATAATAAGTTCATAGAAGCTCTTGACATGTAAGCTTTTGGTAATAAAAACAAGTAAATATTTAAAAAAAATCACTTCATATTTGACAAGTCCCTATTGATAATTTAACAAGTAATCATTTGCGAAATGACAAGTCCCGTTATTAGTTTTGAAAATTTTTCTCCATAATTTGACAAGTAAATTTTAGCAAAATAACAAGCTCATTTAAGCTTTTTATAACATCCCAGATTTTAATTCTTAGTTAATTAGAAAGATAATTAGGTTTAATTTATTAAATGGAGTTAGAGGATGGCTAAGGAGTGCTAAGATAATGTGATGTATAATTACAGAGAGCTAATGGATATTTTGGATTGCGATTTCACCTGAACATTAAAAAGTGAGAAAAATAAAGGAAAATGGCTTTGTGCTACACGCTACGACACATGCATGGCATGCTATGGTGCACAGGCTAATTAGAACACGAAGATCCCTCTCTATACCATATGCCATGATGCTTAAATGTACCATAGTGCATGGTAAGTTTTTTTTGTAGAAATAAGATGCTAATTGACTTTAAAAAAATAGAGAGAAGAGACAGAGAAAGCGAAGAAAAGAAGAGGACTTTGTTAGGGCTTCAATTCTAAGAAGTTTAAAAGCATTTTGAAACTACTAAACCCTAAAGGTAAGTCTCCTAATTTGTTTTGTTACTTCTCACCCATTTTCTTTAAGTTTTGAGCAAGGGTTTGAAATGTAGAGTTGATTTTTAGTCCATATATGTTATGAGTTTGAACCTATTGAAGCACATAGAGTTAATGGGAGGTTTTTGAGATTTTAAACTTAGAAATTATGGGTTTAGACATTAATAGTGGCTGGGAGCCATTAATGTTCGAAAATGGGTGATAAATGTAGCGTTATGAGGGTTATTGTGATAGTAATGACCCTATATGAATTTGATAATTTTTAATTGGGAGTGATGTAAACTATTAAACCTAATGGGTGAGATTAAATGTGAGAAGTAAAGGCATTGAGTATTTTACTATTGGAAATGTGAGAGTTGAAAATGCATTCTCGATAATATTAATTGAGTTTAGATATGATTAATCTATGATTAATCATCCAAGCACCATATCTAGCTTAGAAAGCAAGCTTGTAAGCATATATTGAGAGGTAAACCTTTGACCTCTTAAAGGTTTAATGTAACCAGGGGGAAACCTATCCTAGATAGTTTTTTGTTAATTGTGTTATAATGTGAAATGGGTTTATTTGTAGGAATAATTGTGATTGTGAATATGCAAGCATGCCATGAACCAGTATATTAAGCTTGTTTGACTTGAAATGTGGAGTTGAATTTAAAGATAATTTCAAACTATAAACATGTGTTAGAATGAAAAGTGTATGCTATGTGAAGTCTTTATAGTATGATGCAATAGCATGTGAATTTTTCATTTGTGGCTGATGAGAATTAGAGATGTGTTATGAAATTGAGAATTCAAGTGGAGAGAGTTTGTGAAATAATAATAATGGTCACTTAGGTAACATAATATTGTAAAACTCAATGTGTGGTTATTGAGTAAATAAAATTACAAAATAAGTGAGCATTGTACATTATATAATCATTTGGCAGGAGCTTACCTAAGAAGAGGAGTAGATAAAACTTATATAGTTTTTATGGCTGTCTTTTGATGCATGAAAGCATAGCCTTATCTTGCTATTTGTCAAGATCTTGCTATTTGTCAAGGGACTATCGCATTATTTGTTGAGAGACTAGAACTTAGCTATCTCTACCTATTTGTCGAAAAGATTAGCTTATGGTATACGACAATATTCAAGAGCAAGGGAAGCCGTGGTTCAAAAGTGAGTGATATGATCTTTGGTCGAGTCACACGTCACAATTGGTAAGCTTAGGTTTTTCAATCACACGAACAAAACCTTAATTGCTATTATAGCCTATGTTTCAGTCATAGGAAATAAAAAGGTTATAAGGAGGAATTAATCATGCATATATATATATATATATATATATGTATCCAACATGTCATATGGTTGTTAAGTTTGTGGCAAGTCGTGACAGTTGAGTGTGCCATTGTCACATGATTGTATATAATGTGGCAATGTGCTTCACTATTGTTGATTGAACTGTTGTCATATGATTGTTTTGTATTGTGGCAACATGTCTTGTGTTGTGAACATGTGAAAAATATAAAAGAGTTAAATTGTGAAATTACAACTTTTATTGCATATAATATCAAATGTTTGGATATTTGACTTCTACTTCTGTGTTTATATTAATTGATATGCAACTGCATAAGGTAGTATACCTTTAGTTACTGAGTAGTGTATTCACCCCTCTCCTTTAATATTTTTACAAGCTCTAGTTCTGGTACAGAAAGGAAAAAAGATCTAAAGG